TCCTTTATATCTGTCACCTTGTCACTAAGAGAACTAAGAAAAAGTAAAGTTCTAGAAAAAAAAAATTCTATGCTATCCTTATGATATATGTATGATACATATATGCAAAAAAAAAAAATAAAAAAAAGTTAAAAAGTTCGATTTTTCTTCGTGACTCTTAGTGACAAAGTGACATCCATCTAGAAACCTTTTGATAACTCTAAAAATATGAATTAGCTATATAAGGGTATCACAGAGAGCGTCACAAAGAGCGTTACTAAGAATTTTTTCTCAGTTTTTGCCAAGAAAAAATGATAGGTTATGATGTTACTACATTTCCGAGATGGGCTGTTGTCTCAATAGAAAATTGTATCCTAAGGATATGATTAGGCTAAAAAGCGCTTCTATCTATACTTAATCACCCACCAATTCTTGTGTTGAAGCTAATTCAGCCAACTTTTTCTGATGGTAGTGTTCCTTTGATCTATGTTTTTTTGCATGCGTATCACAATAGTCATATTTGGATCTTGTCGGCTCACCGCATTCTTTGCAAAAAACCTGCCTAGAATTTCGGTGGATTTTATATCCCTTTGGATGATAGCATCTCCAATTGCACACTTCTTCAGTCTTAAGAATATATGGACAATTATATAATACCAGGGTGTCACCTTTTTTCTGCCTTCTATTTATATGTATCAATTAATAATGTCAGGGGATTAATTTTATTTTAAACTTTTTTCTTACGAATAATATACCTTGAGTTTTGGTATAACTATAAATATTTTAAATTGCTTGAGAAAAAAATGACTCAATCAGAGTTTCTCGACGCTCCTGCCCTACTTTTCACCCAGAAGCTGAAAAAGATAAAATGAATGCCCAAGTAATTCGTTATTCCGCTGAAAAATACTTGTTGTTCTTTTTAACGCTAGATGATATAATTGCTGGAAATGATGAGGAATTAACTCTAATACTCGAGAATGCTTTATCTAAATGACAAGGTATTCCATTCATGGCCATTGAGAATGAAGGATCAACAGAAAGGATAAATGGAACGTACTGCTATGTATTGCGTCTTTATGGTCGCCTAATTAACGGCCAAAAGGCACTGGTAACTCTTATGGACATTCAGGTTTTCTTTGACATTCTCGTACCAGACGGAGAGACTCCAGATAAATGCGAAGAAAAGGTGAGCGAAATTCTCTCTGGCATTGCGAAATCATATAAAATAGAACACATTAAAGCATTCCCTTTTCGGGGTTATCATTCCGAAAAAAAGTCATATTTACGAATTTATATGAATAGTACTGGAGAGAGAAAGAAAGCCATCCAAGTTATATAAGAAAATAATTTCGAAACCGCTTCAGATGATTTATACTCATTTCACCATAAGGTAGCCCGAGAGAATGGTATTCAACTCTCTGGATGGTCTACAATAAACAAATATATTCACAAGCAAGGCAAAGGGATCAGCCCGCTTTGTCCGCACGAATTCTACGTATCTATAAAAGATTTCTGTCCACTGAAGATCTTACAACAATAAGCGACCGATTTCCCATTTCAGCTCTCTTACGAGATCGTACTCTTGTTCTCACTTGGGATATAGAGACGCAATCACAAGAATTGGGTGAATTTGCTGAAGTCCTTGATCTGAATAATAATGTTTTTATGATTTCTATGACATTGCATTGGAAAGATGATCCAAAACCATTAAAGCAAATATGTCTTGTCGATGTTGAAATAGAACCAGACCCACACTGGATCACAATCATTTGCGGAAATCAAGTAAATCTACTAAAAGCTTTCGCTTTCTGCTAGCGAGCATTTGCCCCTGATATCCATGTTGGGTTTAACGATTCAGACTATGATTGGTGTTTTATTATGGAAAGAGCATATCATCTCAACATACTCGAATGGATGTGGGAGCGAATGACAGGAAAGTTCGAAACAAAGGAAGAAATTCTAAAGTGGAAATACCGTGGAAAGATAGGAGCAAAATCTGAAAATGATTTCCTGAAAAAGCATCCTGTTAAGGCTCCCGAGGAAGGTGAAGAGGATCTGGAGGAGAAAGAATATATGGGGGGTCCAATTAGAATCAAAATTAGTGCAGAAGATTATTTTACTTCTAGCTTCCTTAAACTGCCAGGTTGCGTACCAATTGACGTCCGAGTATGCCTCAAAAAACGTTTTCCTCATTCTGAAGTCGAAAAGGAAGGCTCACTTAAATTCTTCCTACAAAAATTCAGTCTTGACAGTAAGGCTGATATGCCATATGATAAAATGTAGAAAATCTATTCAGAGGCGAAAAAAAACCCCTCTTCGTCAACCACGAGAAATATGCGTGAAGTGGCACAATACTGTATTATAGACGCATTGCGTTGTCAAGAGCTTTTGGTAAACTAAAGTATAATAAATGATTATAGAGAAATTGCCTCTATAGCTTATGTTTCTCTTTTCGACACACATTATCGTGCAAATGGAATAAAGGTACGGAACCTTCTCAGCGCATGTGCTATCAAACGAGATATGGTAATTAGTACAAGGCTTCCTGAAGATATAGAAAAAGTGAAATATCCTGGTACATATTCTTTTATTAATAAGTCTGTTAATGTAACACTATTTATTATTATATTTTCTATCTATAAACTCATAGCATGAATAAGTTCTAGAAATTTTGCTTCTTTATTTAGGATTTTTCATTAAAAGAGGCTGTGATTTTAGAATGTTTTTGTTATTGTTTTTTCTGCCTATCATAAATTTGATGCTTAAGGTTAATATTTATAGCCAGTGATGTGCACTTGAAAGATTGGAAGCACCTTTGGAAGCATCTTTGAAAGGTTTGGAAGCATAATTTATTAATAAAATTATTTGGATTGGAAGCTTCTAATCAAATTTTTTATCATTGGAAGTATAAAATGCATATCACTGCTTATAATAAACAGTGTATTTTTTGGTTTGTCAGGAGGCATTATAAACAACTAACTAGACAAAAAAATCATTTAAAAGCTTTTTTGAAAAGGATTTTTTAAAGAAGTCATATGAATCAATATAATTTATAAAATTGTGCGTTTTTCAGTAAATTTTCCTAAACAGATCAAGTGAAATATCAGGTAGCAAGTTGATAGAAGAAAGCGAAAATATGATGTATTCTTAAAGATATTTTAAAATGATTTCAAAAGATTGAGAATCCCTATCAATTATGATTTCCTTGATGAAAGAATTAAAAGAAAAATATTTTTGTATACTAACACTAAACTTGATCTTGTTTGAATCATTTTCTTCAAGTTAGCCAGTTTGTGTAATTGATCTGGCAATATCAGTTATATTTGCTTTTTTTTTATAAAATCATAACAATAATTTAGGATTAGTAGCATTATAGCTAACATTTAATATGAGCTATAAAATTTTTTGAATGGATACAGAAAAATATAATAAAATTTTACAAGAAAATATGATTATATTCTATGATTTTTTTAAGCATTATATTTTATAATTTACATTTTGTATTATATTAATTATTACATTTTTAAAGTATTACAGTTTGCATTAATAATTTATATATGATAGGCATTCTAACTTTATTTTATTTAATTAAGCCAATTAGAAATTTGTGATTTTAAAGAGATCTAATTATTAATAAAAATGATATGTATATTAAGGTAATAAGGTGATAGTGATTATAGCCAATTTGTAATTATAAAGGGTAATTTAATAATACTAAAACCTATTTCATAAAATTAGGTATTTATAAAAAGGTATGACTATATAGGGTGTAACTGTATAGAAGTTTGACTGTAGTTAAAAAATAAAAATTATAGTTTGTATTTATATTTATTTGTTGATTTTATATAAATGTATTTATCAAATTTTTTTTTAATTTTTTTCTTCCATTATGGTAAAAAGAAAGAAGTAGTTTAGAAGCATTAGATAATTATTAATGAAAATAATAATATAATATATTCATCTGTTCGATGTAATTATTATTCTAAAATATTTATTGTGGTATTTCTAATAAAATGCAAACTCATTTTAATAATATTTGCCTTGGTATCCCAAATAATGCAAAAACAAAATCCAAACCAACTTTGAAATCTTCTAATTCTACTCAATTACCAAGTACTTTTACTTTATTTCCATTGTAAATACCTAAATTAAATGATTAAAAACTACAAAAATTGATAATTATATTCATATGAGTGAAAATAACAAAATAATCTTAAAATATTATTAGCTCAAGCATTATTTGCAGCTGGAATTCCATTTACTTTTCTTGAAAATAATTATATTATTCAATTTTTTCAACAATTGTGTCCTATATTTAAATTATCTAATCAAAAAAAAACTTGCTAATGAATTACTTGATGAAGTTTTTAATGAACTTAAAGCTAAATATAATAATCAAATTTCAAAATCTAAATCACTTACAATAGTTTCAGATGGTTGGTCTAATATAAATAGAGAATCATTTCAAAATTTTATTATTTGTACTCTAAAACCATTATTTTTTGATGCAATTTATTCTAGTGAAGAAAGTCATACAGCTGAATGAAAATTATACAATAAATAAATATTATTGATATTAATAAATTTTCAGCAGTAATTACAGATACTACAAATATAATGAAAGTAGCTTAGCAAATTATTAAAGAAAATTATTCAAATATTATTTGTTTTAGATATAATTCTTATATAATTAATCTTTTAATTGGTGATATTCTAAAATTTCATCAAATCAAATTTGTTATTGAAAATGCAAAAAAATTAGTTAATAAGTAGCAGCCAAATTAAAGCATATTCAAAAAGAAAATTATAATAAAGAAATTGTATTAGTTTTATCAACACTTATACAATAGGGTATATATCTTACTTGTATTCATTCACTTCAAAAATCAAAAACAGTATTTAAACAAGCATTAATAGGTTTAATTATTTGTGAAAAAATGGATTTTCTTTGAGAAATTATATATTATTAAATTTATTTTGGAAAGAATTAAATATAGCAATAAAAATTATAGAACTAATTATGAATCAGATACTTTAACTTTATTAACAATTTATTCAAATTTTAAAAAATTAATGAATTAAATAAATCAATAAATTGTAAATTTTCTGATAAACTCAAAAAACTTGTTATAAAGTGATGGAAATATACATATCATCTAGCTATATTTGTAGCTTATATATTAGATTCACAATTTTTAGAAGAAAGTAATAATGAAATTAAATCTTTAGGTTATGCAGAATTTATAAAATATACAAGTGAAAAATTTAGTGAAGAAAAAAAATCTGTAAATTTATTTATTAAATTGGTTAATTTTTATGGTAAACACTCTTCTTATTATAATGAAATTATTTGGAAATCTGCTAATTCTCTTTATAGTAGCAATTATGGCAAACTAGTTCACTTTAACAATTAGTTATTAAAATTCTTTCAATTCCTATATCATCTGTAGTTGTAAAAAAAAAGTTTTCTACTTTTGGTTTCATTCATAATAGATTACAAAATAAATATGTTAAAAAATTAGTTTATATTTATGGAAATCTTCAGATTTATAAAAGTCCTTTAAAAATTAAAAAAAATTTAGCATTAGTAATTAGTGATAATAATGAAAATGAAGAAAATATTATGATGAATATGATTCTGATGAAAGTAATTATAGTTTTGAATATAATGTAATAAATTTAGATAAAGAATAATATTTAATAAAAAAATTTTTTTTGAAATTTTATAAAAAAACTATATGTATATTAATTAACCAAATCATAAATAACCATTATTTTACCATTTCTAGTGATAATACATCAATCACTATACATAGAGTTTCTCAAAATTGAATCAAATCAAATATTTAAGCAATTTGAATTTGATTTAATTTTTCAAATTGAATCAAATAGAATTGAATTGAACTCAAATATTTGATCAAATCAATTTTAAATTGATTTGAATTTGATTGAATCAAATCAAATCAAATTAAATATTTGTCAAATCAAATCAAATCAAATTAAATATTTGATCGAATTAAATCGAATTAAATTTTTTTAATATTTATAATAATATATTAAAATAAAGTTATTCTAAAGTTTTAATTAAGAAAATTATTAGTAATTGCAACAAAAATTTTCAAAGATAGCTTTGATTTTCTAAGAAAACTTAACCGCTATTTCAGCTTCCTAACCATTTTATTAGTAAAAAAATATTTTTAAAGTCATGAATGTGTTTTTTTACTAAGTTTCTTAATAAAAAAACGTTTCTGAAACTGCAGTGGCATTCTTTACTATGTTTTCTTAGTAAAATAACGTCACTAAAGCTGCAAATGCATTTTTTACTATGTTTTTCTTAGTAAAAAAGGCATTTCTAAAATCACAGAGTCACTTTTTACTATAGTTTTCTTAGTAAGAGCCATTCTTAAAACTTTAGAGATAGCTTTACTATCAAATCAAATATTTAAATACTTGATTTGAATTTGATTGAATCGAATCAAACATAAATTTGAATTTGATCAAATAAATCATTCTTTAATTTGAATTTGATCAAATCAAATCAAATATGAATTTGAATTTGTATTTGATTTGATTTTCAAATCTAATATTCAAATATCAAATTAAATTGTGAAACCCTAATCAAATATACATACATACATACCAATAAGAGCAATTAAAAAAAAGTTATATTAAAAAAAAGAAAAAAAATTAATGCAATCTTAACTTTTTTGTAAGACTGAAGTCCTTCAAGTCTTAGATTAGAGGTGAGTTTCTATAAAGAAATTATTACTTTTTTGTAGATCCTGAAGTTTTGGATATGAGGTGAGTTTCTATAAAAACAATGTTAGTTTTTTTAAAATTCAAAGAAAACTACTAACAATGCTTACCTTTGTAGGTTTCAGAGTTATCTAAATATTTGATCAAAAATAAGTTCCTATTAAGGGTTTAGTATGTAAGTTATTTTTATACTGTTAAAGAAAAAACTAATAAACACTTATCTTTTTATAGATTTTAGATTCTTCAAGTCTTAGATTTGACATATAAGTTTTTATAAGTATATTGGTTTTTTTAAAACTATTAAAAAAAGCTATTTTTTATAGCATATTTAAATAAATGACTATTCATATTATTTCAATACTTTTATTTGATTAATTTTTTCTGATACTACAGAAGATTAAAACAATATAATCTAAAGATTATTTGTAAATTTCAAGAGATCACAAGCAACTGTCAATGATCTTATATATGCTCAAGTCTTTTGACTGATCAGCCATAATTATCTTTTTGCATTTATAGATTGATAT